CGGGGGGGGGGGGGAGGCGTGGAGAAGAGAAGGCAAGACAAAGACAGAATAGTTCCCCATAGCTGTTGCAGTCCTTCCCTTCCCTGTCAATTTTGTAAGATTTCTTTTCACCCAACTTGCTCCCTTCCTTCTCAATCCCATGACTGGAGAGCTACTACTCTCTACGTGGAAAGGGGCCCAAGTTCAGCAAAGGCTGTGGAAACCTACAGGCAGCCTCCTGAGCAGCCAGGAACAGCTTTCAGTAAGACCAGGAAAGGGAAAAGTCCATGCAGGTGCAAAATGGGTAAGGAACTGCCTCCTCTCCATCAGGATTTTGACTGAGGACAGAAAGAGCTGTTGTCCTGATGTGGGCTCCAGGGAGGGGGAGAAAGCCTGTTCTCTGGAGCGTGGGTTGGGGAAAGCACAGGAAGGGATTAGTCTACCTGAGCGTGATCCCAGGGAGGAAGAATGAGCAAAAGCTGTCCTTCCTTGGGTCTCTCCCTCCCTTCCTCCCTCCCCTACTCCCTCAGGCAGTTTCACAGGCCACCAGGCGGGGAAGAACACACATCTGGAGGTCACCCAATATCAGTGTAAAGGAGGAAATAAAAATTGCTCTGACGTGCCAGCTTGGACTCATTTAGGCTTCAGTCTGACACAGCGCTCCTCCTCTCCCTCTTGCTTTCTCCTGCAGAGTAAAGATTTACTGTGTGCAGGAGTCCTTCAAACCTCCCTCGTCATCTTTTCCAATCACTCACTCTAGCTCTCATGAGCAAGCACACTCGTCCACAGGGAGCCAGCACAGGCAGGTACATTGGCAGCAGAATGGAGGTTCTGGGCACTGGGTCCAGCTCAAACCAAATCAACACTGCCTTGAAACATAGTGGAAAAGGAAGGCACCAAGACACAGCCACAGAACAGGTCAACAGATCCAAAGCATGAAAACGGACCCCTAGGATTTGGGGGATCTGACAGCCAATGATGCCATATGCACAGGCATGCACGTACATGAGAGCATTGCCACCCACGCAAGACCCAGTCAATGAGCAAAGTCGAAGTTCAATAGCCATCGGCTTCCGCAAATCAGTTTCCACAGGACTATGCGGAGGAAGAGACTGCCTGCAACGGGCACTAAAATGTGCAAGACCATGAGGGTCATATTCCTGCTTCGATATTACCCGGTATAGCTGTGTTCAGGTAACCGAAGTGCTGCTGCACTAGCTGCCTGTGTACATGGTACATGAGAAAGACAATGCAAAGAACATGCCTGAAGCCTGCAAGCAGAAGGACAAAGACACATCTGCTAAGTGCTGGGATCTGGTTTAGCCCAAAATGACTTTCCAGTTCTGGGCACTTATGCCCAGCATCCTGCATGGGATTTTGGGATGCCTGACTTCAGAATAAACACCCTGTTACTTACAGAATGGGCGGCAATGCCCCTGCAGTGTCTGGCTCAGGTTGTAGCTTTTTGTCCTCGCACAACCTCATGGGTCAGTATTAATCTTAAAGGATGTTAAATGCAGAATCATGCCCCACAGTGTCCAGTAACAAGACTTGTCAGAAGGAAACCACAAGGAAAGGCTGTATTACTTCATCCTCAGACACAGGGTCATTTCATCTGTGCTGCCCCACCGGGCCCTCTCCTGTGGCCCCTCCAACACCCTACCAAAGCCGTCAACTTTATCTTTCACACACAGACATATTAAATAACTTCATCTTGCTTTAAAGCAGTTCTTTTTACCTTTTTCTCTCTTCTCCACGTCCATTTCAGTGTAACCCTATGACCCAACAGAAGTGATTAAACCCATGAAATCCCTACTGGGTCTAACACTTCCCTCTTTCTGTTACATCTGCTTTTCCTCTCTTTTTGGACTTGTAAAACAATCCCCTAGCCTCCTTCACAATGCCCTGACTTCCAAGCACTGCACAGAAAAACTCTAGCCAGCCTGTGCCAAACTGCAATGGGAGAAGAATACCACAGAGAGGATTTGATAGGAAATTAAACTATTAAGTGTGATTTTTACTAGCTTTAACAGCTGCCCTGAAAGCCAGCCAACCCCTTTCCTTCTTTATCCTAACCTGCAGCACACGAAAAGAGGGGAGACCCCCTCTTTCAATCCCACATCTCAAATCAATTTTACAAATCCCAGCTCGGTTCAGGCCCCACAGACATTACAAATCCAGAGAGGAGATTCAAGGAAACCTAGTATTTTCTTTTAACACTGGAGAAAATGGAATATTGTAGGAGACCACCTCCTTTTTAAACTTCTCTCATGAGCACACCTGGTCTTGGAAAGCATCTTTGGTACCCCTGTGGCCAGACCTCAATTGGTGCAAACAATTAGATGCAAAACCCAAGACCATAGGAAAGGGGGAGTTTTCAAACCTTTCTTGAGCTTTGCAAAGTCTGAGCTTGAGTTCAGGTTTCACTACACTGGATTTAATCCCCTCATCTCCCAAAACACCTTGCATTCTGCTTTCCCTTTGCTCAAATTTGTTTCCAGGTGATCGCAATACCCCCCTGATCAACAGCTTTGCCAGTGCTGCTCAGTCTTTCCTCATCCACATTTGAGATGAAACTGGCCAGTTCCCACTACTCACTGCCTAGCAAGCGTTACCTTCACTCATCCCGGCATGAGCCCACCAACACAACCCCTAAAGCCAAGACAACCTTCGCTTATTTGCACAGGCACCTAATCAGAAAGCTAGAGGCTCTTCAAATGGATGCACCTCATGGAAGGGAGCTGTCTCACCACAAAGATGGTATGAGACCCAGCCAACTCATTTCATACACACTTTCAAACAACAGTGAAGAGGTAATTACTATTACCTAATTGACAGAAAACCCTCCCACACGCAGACAAAAGTGAAGCAGGACAGCGGTTGGGAAACAAATCCATGTGAAAAGTGCACGGCCCTGGAAGGCACAGGAAGCGTTGTCCCTGGGTCTTCTTGCCCCTCCCCTGCACCACATTTTTCTCTCCTTTTCTATGTGATAATAAAAGGGCTCCCTCTCCCCTTGCCGCTGCTCTCCATTTGTGGGCATTGCCAAAGAGCAGAGATCTGTGTGTCTCAGAGCAGCTATCGTATCACAAAGGATCCGAAGCTAGCAAAAAAGGGGCTAAAAATAGCCTGCAGCAGCACACTATATATGGAAGGAAAAGCAAAACAGCCCAAATGGAGTGCAAGGTCTGGATACTGGGGGATGGGACATCCCAGCCAGGGCTCTGTCCTTTATTCTGCTTGGGAGAGAAAACATGCAGACTTGGGGGCTATGGGGTAATGAGCAAGACACTGGCACTCATCATGCATGTTCTCCCAAGTGGAGTCTCCCCAGGAAATTATGAAGAGAAAACCCCTCTTGCTGAAAACAGGTCCAATATTCCCTTTCTAAGAGACTTACCTAACAGGCTAAGAAAAGAAAGAACTTTGAAAGCTTGTACAAGGGAAAGCTCCTGGTGACTACTTTAGTCCACTAGGTAAGTAACAGGCAGAGTAAAGAACATGGGACTGTATAGGAAAATCTCCCTGGGTATGTGTGTGTCAGTGAGAGACTGTGGAAAAGGATCTGTGTCAGAGACTGTATTGGGAAATCTAAATGCTATATATAAATGTGTGTAGAGAAGTATGGGTCAGTCAGTGTGCAGGACAGGGTGCGTGAATGAAGAAACGTATCCGCGTGTCCAGATCAGCTTCTGACACCCATCTCCTGACAGACACCAGCTTTGCGACTCCTGAACACGTTTCCTAGCCGTACCAGAGAGGGAGGCACATAAGGCAAGATTGAGCACTGACTCATTAGTCCCTTGTTTCCAAGGGGTGGCTCAGGAAAAGAAACAGGGATGCCATACATGCATGTTCCCCATCTTGTTTCAAAGCATGAGGATTGAATAGCATGGACCAAGTCTCTGCAAACTCCTTCCTGATGCACAACAAGCCTCACTGTCTGACCCTGGAAGGAGACAAAGGTGGCAGGGATTTTGCATTAGACTACAGGAGGTGTTACTGGAGGACACAAGCAGTAGCTGAAGCCCCATAAAGCAGGCTGTGTGTGTATACACAGGGACTCCAAAAAGCAGGAACCCTTCTCAGCCCCATATAATTAGGATCACTTTCCCCACTGATCAAGAAAGCCCAGCTAGACGTAGGACCTGGTTTTCTGTGTGGCTCCTGCTTTTTACCCAAGTTTCCAGCTGATCAAAGAAGTATGGGCTCAATTTTAAATGTTGCTGAGCACTGCCAGCTCTGTATCCTCTATGTCCTCAGAGGGAGCAATGGGCATTTAGAACCTTCAAAACCAGGTTCCTGTGATGACTCCCCTGAAGCCACATTGACCAGGAGGGCAGAGCTGTATTCCTCTCCTTTGATCTGACTGCCTCCTGCTACCCCCCAACTTACAGGAACAAAACCTCCTTTTTGGTGTAGGCAGCTCCAGACCTCGCTGGAATAAACTTGCACCCAGTAACACCAGGTCTGAAAGGACTTGGTGATCAACAGCTTAAAATCCATTTTCTGGAACATCGACAGAAAAAGACAGAAGAGGAAAAGAACTTTGTCCTTTCCAAAGCAAGAGATGTTTCAGTTTGTGCTTTCCAGGGAAACGTTGCAAACGACATTTATAACAGGGTTCTTGAAACAGATGCTCAAGACCTGGCAGCATGTCTGTTTGCAAGTCAAATCCCATGTGGCTGTATATGTAAACCGGACCCCGCATGTGCCATTACCCGCCTTAAACATAAATGAGTCTTCAGCCCCCCGTGAATGCTTATACATTTTTTGCACAATCCTTTGACAATACAGCCCTACAAAGGCATTTTACTGAGAACTCCTACCCCAGTGAGAAACCTCAGTTCCTTTTCATTTTCCCCAGTTTGGTAACATATTTGTTACATTTAAGTTCCCCTCCTTTTCATTTTCGTAGCAAATAAAAGCTGCAAATGGGGGGGAATTAAACTAAAAACAGAGTCCAGGCACAATCACCTTGTGTCTGGGAACGACAAGGGCTTTCCTATCAAAGGAAACTGAAGGTCACACTTTTCCTCATTGATCTTGCAATGTTTGTTAATTACTCTGTCACTGATGTGGCGAAGGATAATTAAACAGCTCTGTTTATATCTTATATGCATAATTATGTGTGCTGCCACTGAACTCATGAAGACTAGAGAATGTGCCTCTCCAGAAGGGGAACGGACAGACGGAGATGAGTTTCGGCTGCATTATTAACAGGAGGAGGAAAACATGCGCACACACAAAAGGAGGAAAGTTTGATGGATTCACAAAGTGCTGAGATCAGGGGAGGGGTGCATGCAGGTGGAGCAGATTAGGGGGAGATCTTTCAATTACAGATCCAATCCAGCTGAGTGACAAATTAGGGGAGGGAGCTGCTCTGTCCTAATGCAGAGAATTCAATTTACCCTAAGCTTTTGCCAAGGCTTAGCACTCATACACCCCCCAAAATCAATCTGAGGGAAACCTGGGTATCAGAAGTGAGACAGAAATTCAGCTGGGGCTTTTCCCAACATCTCTTGCTGAATTCAGCTTTTGAATGAACCACAAAAATAAGACAGAAGCTATATGAAAATAAGACACACACACAGCCTGGAGGAAAACACCTTGCAACTGCACGCAGGTCAGCATCCTGGACCAAAGTGGTGGGGGACATACAGGTTTGGAACCAGCAGCTTCAGCAGCTTGAGCCTGAACTCAGTTGCTGGAGGACGGGCTCCCACACCTGCCTCGTGAAGGAGGCAACGCCATAGCGAGCAGTAACCCCTCAGCCCGGGATGAGGGAACACGCAGGAGCAAAAAGGGAACGCGATGCATTACGTGTTGGACAGCTCTGTCACGGGCTCTTATTTGACACCCAGAAAGGGGCATCTGTTCTGGTAGGCCAACCAGGGATAAGTGACAAAGACAGGTAGCACTTAGACAGCAGCTCGCTCCAAGCTTGCTACCAGCCCCGCAGTGCAGAGCCCCCGAGCAGCAGAGGGCAGCGGCCGGGGCTCGGCAGGGTCCCGCACGGGACGTGCAGCCACCCCGGCCTTGCCCTAGCACAACTCGGTCCCCTCCCGCCC